AATAAATGTCTGAGTTTTATCAATTAGGTACTTTCAGACAGTTCTTTGTTTTGTTTTGTTTTCTTTATAGTCACTGATCCACTTGGGGAAAATGACAGTTCATATAATTACCATCATGGAAATGATTCCTGCCAAATTTCTGAGATTAGATGCCTCAGTTACTCTCCACAACAGCGATTTCAAACTAATTTCTCAAATCTCTGACCACTCCCTCCTACCCTCTCACTGGCAACAGATAACCTTACCTCCTAAAATATAGTGCAAAGAGAAGTCCCATCTTCTCAATATTAAATGCATAATCCTACTTTTGCTACTTTGTGTTATAATAAAGGGCTTATCTTTATTGCTTTTTAATGTTAATCCCTCTTTTCTAATTTAGATTCATTTTCCCTTTCTTCCTTCTAAGGAACATTATACTATCAATTATCATTTTTTGTCTTTTATATATTCAATCTCTTATTCTCTCTCATTAGATCTTTTCATCAAGTTCTAAATACATTCCATCATTCCAAATTTTCACAAGTCACTCAATCCCATACCCCTTCCATCATTTTATCTTTCTCATATCCTTTATGGACATATTTTTTGGATGTATTATTTGTACTTGTCATGTAGCTGCTATAGTTGCCTTTCCAAGTTTCATCTCCATTTCTTTCCAACAGAGAGCACATATCTTATTTTTTAGAGCAGCAGTGGGTCCAGCTAAAGAACTGTATTTCCCAGCCTCCCTTGCAACTAGGAATGGCCATGTGACAGTTCTGATCAATGATGTGTAAGCTGTGGCTGAGGTTGACAGCAAATTTCTGGTTTTTTTTTTTGTTTTGTTTTGTTTTTTTGTTTTTTTTTTTTTTTTGTACTAGGGATTAAACTCGGGTCCTTGCACTTGCAAGGCAGGCCACCAAACTGCTGAGCTAAATTCCCTGCCCAAGAGTCTCAGTCTGATTCAGGCTGGCCTTGAACTCAACTATATTGCCCAGGCTGCCCTCAAATTTGTGGGGATCCTCCTACCTCAGCCCGAAGAGTGCTAGGATTACAGACATGTGCCACCATGCTTGGCTCTACATTCTTGATATAGCTACGAGTCCTTTCCCCTTGATGTTTCTTCCTTCTTCCTAGCTGAGTGAACAATGGGAAGGGGGTGGATATGCCTGAGGATGAAGGAACAGAAAAATAAAAGGATTCAAGGACAATTAAGACATCATGAAATCATTGCACCATCAAGAACTGCCATCTCCTGTCATTTTTTCTATGTGAAAAAAATAGCCTTATATAGGTGAGCTTCTGCCATCAGATTCTGTTACACCTGTGCCAGTACAATTTCTAATCGATGTTCTTGCACCCTCCATTTCCTCACCTTTCACTCACTCTCCCAACTGTTCCATTCTGCCTGGTGGCCCTTTATTCTGTTGCTCTCACCAATGAGCTACTTGTTGTGAAATCCAGAGGACATTTTTCAGCTTTCGTGTTACTTAGCCTCTCAGCAGTGTGACTCAGTCGTCCTCGTTCTCCTTTTCTGAAACACTCCTTCTGAAGCTTCCACAATCAGTACTCTCTGGATTTGCTCCTTTGCCTCCTGCTGTTCCCTCTTGGTCCCCTGTGTGTGTTCATCTTCCTCTTCTAGCCACACTTGCATCCTGTAGCACAGAAGATGCCTTTGCCACATGCTGTTCCTTCTGGCCTGGCTTGCTATCTTTTCCCTCCAATCACTGGGGTAATTCTTCCACATCTTCAGTTCTTCATCCATTCTCACTTTCTGAGGGAAGCCTCCTTTTGAGAGCAAATTTCCCTCCTGTACTTTCTGTCACAGCTCTTAGCACACCTATAATTTCCCTTCTGTAGTGGAACTCTGAGTAAGCTGCCTGTCTCTTTGAACAGAAAGCCCCATGAAGAGAGACACCCATCTATCTTTGCTTTTCATTGTATTTCCAAATCTTACCATATTCCCACAATGTAATAAGTACTCAATAATTATTTTTGAATGCACAAATGGGTGAATGTATAATTATATATTTGCTTTCCTTCTTGTTGTCTGTTTTTTTCCAATTCAACAAGACAAGGACACATTTGGGGGGGCGTCCTGATACACAGTGCATAGTCTCTATAGTAAGAAATGTAAAAAACTGATTTTTTAAAATTAATAAATGAATGAATAAAGTAGAGTTTCCAAAGAATTGGATCTGGTAGTTTTTCCTTTACCAGCATTGTGCTTTGGATTTTTTTTTTTTTTACTACTGTGTGTGTGTGTGTGCATATGTGTGTGGTGTGCTGGGCATCAAATCCAGGACCTTGAACATGCTAGGCAAACACTCTACTACTCAACTACATCCCCAGACCCATTTCATTGTCTTTTGATGTAGTTTGTGCTTACAACAGAATACCTTATACCTTTGTTGTCCGCAGAAAAGAGGCTTTTACAAAATGTTACCTACTAGTTCTCTTCACAATATGTCATGTCTAAAATAGGCTGGCTAAGACTCTATGGTAATCAGTATGGAAGTTTCTCAAGAACTAAAAATAGAACTACCATATGATTCAGCTATACCAGTCCTTGGCATAAATGCAAAGGAATCAAAGCCAGCATACTATAGAGATTCTTGCATTCCCATGTTTATTGCCACACAATTCACAATAACGATAACAAAATTGTTATTTACAATACCAAAAGTTAGCTGAGCGTGGTGCGCATGCCTGTAATCCCAGCACTCGGGAGGCTGAGGCAGGAGGATCGCTGTGAGTTCGAGACCAGCCTGGGCTACATAGTGAATTCCAGATCAGTCTCAACTACATAGTGAGACCCTTTTTAAAAACAAAAACAAAAACAAACCCACAGTAACAAAAGTTGTGGAATTATCATAGGTATCTGCCAATGAATATGGTAAAGAAAATATGGTGCACATACACAGTAGAGTATTATTCAGCCATAAAGAAGAATTTAATAATGTCATTTACAGAAAAATAGATGGAAGTAGAGATCATTATATTAAGCAAAATAAGCCAGACTCAGTTTTCCCTAATATATGGAATCTAGGAAAAAAAAAAAAGAATGACATGAAAGTAAAAGAGGCTGTTAGAAAAGAGGAAGAGGGTCAGGCATGGTGGCACTCATCTATAATCCCAGCACTTGGAAGGCTGAGACAAGAGAATCACCTTGAGTTCAAGGCCAGCCTGGACTACATATAGAGAGCCTACCTTAAAACCAAACAAACAATAAGTAGGAAAGCGGGAGGAGACTAGAGGGAGAGGAGAGGGGAGGGGAGAGAGGTTAATAGGAGGGACAATATGATCAAAGCATGTCATTTCATGTATGAAAAGAGCACAATGAAACCCAATAAAAAATAAAATAAAATAGGCTGTCTATGAAGATCTTGAATCTATATCCTTCTCTTTATTTCCACTTCCCTGGTGGAAATCACTATCATATTTCTCCTGGACTAAATTGGACCACAACTTCCCTTAAGGATGACTTGTTAACCTATATATAAACTTGGGTTGTACAGTTTTGTTGGAGTCATGAGGCCAATGATCTCATCTGTTTGTCATTCCCAAAGAAAGCTAGGCATATATAGGTGCATAAGTAGCTTTATATTTTGCTGTGACTCTGATCTGCATTTGACAAAGTAGTTAGTTTAGCTAAGGAAAAGATGTAGTTTTACTACCAACAAATTTTTACTTTCAAATGACCAAACTGAAAATACTGTTTAAAAAAAAAAAAATCAAGCAATGATTTCTAAGTTCTTCCCCCTATTGCCCTACCCCACGAATTCTAAGTCAGAAAGGTACCTGAGACATTCAACAACAATGATGAAAAAGGTCATTCATGCACTGTGACAGCCCTGAGAATACTCTTCCTTAAGGTCAGTTTACATGCATCTTTTCCTCCTCTAAAACCAATCTCTTGTCTTTTCTCCTTGACAAATCTTCCTGGACTCCTTGCCTCCTCACAGATCTGCCACGATGTGGAGGACCATCCTGTTGATTATGCTCAAAGCAGGCTGTAAGCAGTGCCAGCAGTAAAGAGTTAACCCCACTATTGGCTTGTTTATAGAAGGGACTCTGACCAAAGCCTACATGCCAAGGTCACAGTGGCTCGCACCCAAATTCTGTTCCCAGAGTTAAAACGCCATCTTTACTAAAAAGACAAGGTTAATTATTAACTACAACCTATATTTTGTCTGTTCTTTTCCTATATCAAGAATACTTTGTCTTCTCCTTTGCAAGCTTTGATTGCATCAGTAACGTGGCCATAGCAACTACATGTCCTCTCACGTAGCCCTTTACCTCAGTCTAACTATGATGTCACCAATAAGTATCAACAGCTCTGGGTGTTCAGGACCTTTGTTTGTTCAGCCTTGCTTGCATGAACATTGGTCATCCTGGCTCCCAGTATCTCTGTCTCTTTAATTCTGTCTCCAAGTCTTTCTTCTTGCCAGGTGCCATAGCACTGAGCAAGAGATAGGAACCCACTGTGGGGGTCTCTGATACCACTCACACTTGTCATATGTGTCTACATAAATGTGTGAACTCAAAGCCCACCTTAGCAGATTTCAGAGCCCAGATTCTTAACCACCAGGCAGCCCTGCCCTTCCTCAATATTTATTCCTAGGTACCAAACTCCAACCAGGCTGCATTTGTTCTCAAATAACTTTGAAGGCACAAAGTGACCAGCTTCACACACAACCAGTCAGGAGCATTTCAGATTGTTCTCAAGTAAAATTGTAAGTCTGCAAATAATTAAGAAAGGAGTCATTTTGAAAATAGTGGGAAGTGGTGATATGCAGAGACCAACTTTGACATTGGGATATACATTTAAACACACAGCTCAGGGATACAAAAAAAAACACCACTATACTAAGATTGCAGAAACATTAAAAATCAAATTGCCTAATAAATTTTTTAAAGACCTGTAAATGACACTGTCTCTTCCCTGGGGAAATCTTTCCCTAAAGCTCTAAGACTCTCAGTAACTGGGATGAATAAAAGTTGGCCTCCTTTCTTTTCAGCTCTCCATTCTCCATCCCAGAGGGCCAAAAGGAAAACATCTTATTTGAAGATAGAAGTTTCATTTGCTGAAGTTTGTAGCTGGTCAAGCTGAAAGCAAGAGGGAGTGGAGGTGTAGTTCAATGGTAGAGTGCATGTTTAGTATGTATGGAGCCCTGGGTTCAATTTCCAGCACCAGAAAAGAAAAGAAGAAAGCCTATTTCATGTTTGCATGATAGTAGAAAGTATTTGGCCACATTCAAGTTTAATAACAAGATTATTAAATGTTTGGTCTCTTCATATAACTAACAGAGTTGATTAATACCCTTCTGGTCAAGAAAACAAAATGCCTTACAAAGTCTTGACTACTGGTATTTTAACCAGTTTACCCTGTTGTATTTTGAGGGAAGGGAACTATGTTATGGACCACTGTGTTTCCTTGAAAACTTGAGAGAAATGAATGGTTGGGGGAAAGTTCAAGGATGAGACTACTGAGAGACTCGCATCTGCAGCAAAATGGAGTTTCTTCAAATTAGACATCAGGAGAAGCAACAGAGAAGAGCAACTGGCAACTGGAGGTAACCTTTTGATTCTCTGGGCTTGGAATATACTGGCAGAGGCTTTAACTAACTAAATTTACTTGTGAGTTCTCTGAAGGGAGTGATCCTATTGCACCAGAGTCATTTTTCATAACACACTACTTTGCAAACAAGTTCCTAGGACCTCATAAAATACTGAATTTTAAACCCCCCAAAAAGTATGAAAATGCCAGCATGTCTGTGACATGTCCCAACTACAAAATCTGTGAGTTTTTTTCACTAAAAATGGAAACTTTTATTGGAGTTTATTAAAGCATAAGATCTTCATTTTGAAAGACTTAAAGTCTTGAAGAGGTATCTACCCAAATTAGCATCCAGTCACTGCACCTTGGGAAATCCCTGTTTTGGCAGCATCTGAAGCCAGATCTGGTTACAGTTCATAAATCTAACACTGGAACTGCTGACCTCAGGAAGACAGGTGGCCCCTCCAACAGCAGGTCTGCATTCTGGGCAATGAGAAATATGCCCAATTAAATTGCCTTGAAGGCTGGTCTCTCTGCTTGGGTATCTGGCCAGCACAGTGGCCCTTTCACACAGAATGGAGTTTTCCCTAAACAAACTGCTTGGTAATTAATTGAGCTTTGCATCTTAAAAAAATTTTTTTTGCTTGGCTTAATACAATACAATATCATTAGTTGACTTCCTGGTTAATACATGTTTGTTAAATACCTACTATGTGCCAAGTACTTTGTAGTTCATGGAGAAACAATTTTTTTTTTTTTTTTTTTTTTTTTTTTTTTTTTTTTTTTTTTTTTTTTTTTTTTTTTTTTTTTTTTTTTTTTTTTTTTTTTTTTTTTTTTTTTTTTTTTTTTTTTTTTTTTTTTTTTTTTTTTTTTTTTTTTTTTTTTTTTTTTTTTTTTTTTTTTTTTTTTTTTTTTTTGGTATCGGGGATTGAACTCAGGTCCTTGAGCTTACAAGGCAGGCCACAGAACCACTGAGCTAAATCCCCGGCCCAGGAAACAATTATTAATGGCAAAAAATCTCATCAATTAGCTCAACACAATTATCAAAAATTCCTTGGAAAATTCGAATAGATCCTCTATCTGTGTTTTATCCATCCAGCTTAATTGCAAAAGCCCATTTTGGTTTTTATCTCTTAATTCATTCATTTAGAAAAAATTTATTGGTTTCCCAAAACCATGTTAGGTACTAGAACTACAAAGATGAGGAGAGTACAATCCCCAACGACAGAAGTCTCTAGCATTTTGGGAGCAGGTGGATGATGTAGCCAGGACCAGAGCATGGAAGATATAAGCCATGCTCACCAAGGACTACAGACTTTACCCTCCAACATACAGGAGCGATTAGACACTCTAAGGAGAAGTAGAATTCAGTTTTCATTTTGGAAAAATTAGTTTGACATTGATAAGGTAGATACATGGTAAGGAAATGTAACAGAAGGGAAGGATGCCGAAGGGGAAAAAAATCAAATTCCAAAGCTGTTTCAGAAATGACAAAATTTAGTAACAAATGAAAGTAAAGATTGAGAGAAAAGGTGAAATTCATGATAATGACTTCAAAAATTCTGGAGTCATTAGCCAGGCAAGTGTGATGGTACATGACCATAATCCCATCACTGGGAGGCTGAGGCAGGAGGACTGAAAGTTTTACCCCAGATTGGACAATTTAGTGACTTGTGAAACGCTATCTCAAAAAAAGCCACTTTTTTTTTTTTCTTTTTTAGGGCTGCGGATGTAGCTCATTGCAAAGATCCTGTATATTGTAATTAATTAATTAAAAGCAGAATTTACAATCAGAGGCTGAGGGTTTAACTCAACAGCAGAGCACTTGTTTAACTTGTATGAGGCCCTGGGTTGAATTCCCAGCCTGGTAAATTAATTAATTATTTTTTTAAAATTCTGGAGTGGGTGAAATTAACAGGACAGATTGCCTAGTGATGTTTACCTGTAATCCCAGCTACTCAGCAGGCTGAGGTTGAAGGATCACGACCTTTAGGCAAACTGAGCAACTCACACCCTGCCTCAGAATAAGCGGGTTGATGGTGTAGCTCAGCAGGAGAGCACTTGCCAAGCACAGGTGAGATTCTAGGCTCAATCCCCTGTACAGAGACAGGGAGAGAGGGAGGGAGCGAGGGAAGGAAAGAGGACGGGGGGGGGGGGGG